TAATAACTAATATAATAACAACTAATATAACTTATTCCCCAACTATTTTTAATTAAAGAGGTTCGTGGGAAAACATATTAAGTGACATTTCAGTCATTTTCGTAAAATTATAACTTTGTACAAGAGGAAGGAGATTGCATGTATTTTTTGTGTACTAAAAACTTCTATTTGTATTAAATACCTGTTTAAATAAATTAATATTATATTCTTACAATAGACTATTAAATTTTTCAGCCTTTAGAAATTGAGGGTATTCACAATATCACTTAATATATACTCTAAGCTTTTCAACTGTTCGTCAAATACCAATTATTTATAAAAGATGTTTTTAGGTACGCCTTCCTTGGAGAAAGTTATTATTGTTCCAACCAAAAAAGAAACTTTGTCTAAAGATTTATCTAACATTCGAAATAGGTGAGTAAATATCTCTTATATTTACATTTCTGTGTGAAAAAATCGAAAGGTAATTGAGACAAACATTTGACAAGGTCTTTTGCCAAGGAAAATGAAAAAGCTACAGTAAGTTCAAGCTCCTTACACTTGAAGCGAGGATATGATTTTGAACTCTATATACCATCTTGCTGTGAAGAATTATCTGGGCAAATAATTATTAGCAAATAATTATTATAATTATTAACTATTTTGAATTATTAAACGGCTTTTAAAAATCATCAATATGGTAACATTTTTCCACCTCGATGAAAGTATAGGTATCTACAACTACAAAATTAAAATTACAATTCAGTAGTATATTAAGACGTGTTAACTCGATTCTATGATGGGGTACCGTTTCATAGTTCATACCCGGACGTGATGTGAACACGCTTACCTTGGCAGTAACGCCCACTTCGATATGAACACGCCTATCCTGACAGTAGCGCCCACTTCTATCTGGAAACGTCTACTTTGATGGATGATCAACATTGAACAGTTGACTTGCTACTTGTGACTGCGACATTATCCACCTACTCTCACTGTTGCTACTCAGTCTCGTCTCGTCTCGATCACGCACAACGTCGGCTTGCATACACTCGACTGCTAACGGCAGCACAGGAGCGACTATGACCGTGAAGTTAATACACCTCTCACATTCAGCACTCAAAAAGTACGGTGATCTTATTACAGCTCTCCCGGCTTCTCACAAAAACAGTAATGAATCAACTAGTGATATCCGTTCATCGAATTCTATCACAGATATAAATCTGGCGGGGAAGTACTGCTTGCGCTATTTTCACAATAAATATAGAGAGCGTTAGCCAAAGATAAGCTAAACTTGATCCATCAGTCATGAGTAACTGTTGCAAACTCACATCATATATGAAAATAGTATATTATTCTCAAAAAATCATCATTTCATGCAACGACAGATCCCTCGAAAAGCAGACTTAATATTTGACAATTAGGAAATAAGTATCGTCCTGTAAAACGAACTTCCTAAATTTCTAAGCGTTTGATGGAACAGTTTTCTCATCCCGAGTTGGAATGTATAAAGTGAGAATAAAGCGGATCGGTAGATGTTGTTGTTGTTGTTAATTTACGTCGCACTAGAGCTGCACATTGGGCTATTGGCGACGGTCTGGGAAACATCCCGGAGGATGATCCGAAGACATGCCATCACAATTTTGATCCTCTGCGGAGGGGATGGCACCCCCGCTTCGGTAGCCCGACGACCGCGGATCGGTAGAATTTATTCCAGCGATTGAGGGAAATTCAGGGAAGAGTGACGTGTAAGAGAGGAGAGCGTAAGATTCTTTATGTGACGTGTTGTAGAAAACAAAATAATAAAAGTTTAGCTTACTTAAAGTGCATTCTATCGTATTGAACCAAAGAATTAAAATACACTCTGTGACAAAAAAATCGACGCACCAAGAAGCAGTTGTCCGATTGAAACGAAAATTGGTGGATAGGAAGACAATTTACAAAATAGTAAATTATTAAAATTTCAGAGCAATTGAATAATTTATTGTAGAGTTACAGTAACAAGTTCAATAAGGTGTTGACCAGCCTCTAGCCTGGATACAAGCTGCCACACGGCGTGGCATAGACCGATAAAGCTCCCGAATGGTCTCTTGCAGTATTTCCTGCCAAATTCGATCCAATTGTTGAACTAGGTCATCATTCCGTGCCAGATGCAATCGCCTTCCCATCATATCCCAGACATGCTCAATGGGAGAGAGATCTGGTGATCTGGCAGGCCAAGGAAGAGTTTGACAAGCTTGCAGACAGTTCATAGCAACACGTATCGTATGTGGTCTGCCATTGTCCTGCTGAAACACCAGCCCAGGGAGCTGCAAAAGGAACGGTAGTAAAACAGGTCTTAGGATGTCGTCGACGTACCGCTGTGCAGTAAGTGTACCTCTAATAATGACCAAAGGGGTTCGACTGTCAAAGGAAATGGCACCCCAGACCATAATGCCTTGTTCAGGGCCGGTGTGGCGTGCAATAGTGAAGGCAGGATTCCCCCTCTGCCCTGTGCGTCTCCAAACACGTCTTCGATGATCGTCAGGACACAGTTGGAAGCGGGATTCATCACTAAAGACTATACGTCCCCAGTCGGCATCATTCCAGCCATATCTGTTCAAAACATTCCTGCATTCGAAATTTAAAAGCAATCGAATGATTGCTTCTTGGTGCGTCGATTTTTTTTATAGAGTGTAGTATGCTAGTTTGGAGCGCTTTAACTTTCCTTACCTATGAAGCAATGAACTTTTCTGCTCAGCTTTTCCGCCACACACCAACCTTTTATGATTGAATAATACTCCATTTTCCAAACCGGCAAAAATACCTACATTAAATAAATTTAGTACTTTTCTTTCAAATTTATGCTGCATTTTACTTCCTCTCATTATTTAGTTGTTTCTTGGAAGACTTTTTGAATGAAGGCAGGTTACCAGATGGGTCAGTTCCTGACATAGTGTTCGAACAACTACCACCCACTCACCCAGTGTCTATCTCGTTCTCATCAGGAACGACTGGACTACCAAAAGGACCAGTCCACTCTGCTAGTGTAAGAAACTCTTTTCATTTCTTCAGTATTTTAGCACTTTTTTTAAATAAATCAATTTTTCAGTAAAATTAGTCAGTTTATACTAAACACGAAGTGTTACTTTCTATTGCTGTTACTATTCTAAAATGCCAACCGGCCTGTGTAGGTATCGGGGAACTGGTCTTGCATCAGAAAGGTCCGGGTTCGAAGCAAGGCATGGATATACTTTCCTTTTCTGTACTATCTGTCCTTAAAGTGGGAGCAACGTTGGCCCACCTAATAAGGAGCCCCTGAAAGAGTGGCCAACAAACAACTGCACTTCAGATGCCCTTATGATTTAGGTCATTCTTCGAGGAGGGCATTGAAAAAAAATTCTAAAATAAGTATTAATATTTGGATGTCGAATATGAATAAAAATTAACTTCTTGCATGCAAAACGCTTAAATTATTCAAAACTAAGCATTCTTTCACTTATCAATCAGAAAAGTTATTTTTCAGCAGTCTTTGATAATGAGTTCAAAGGGAAACACAACTATGAAATGACATGTAGATGGTCTTTTTCTGTTATTTTTTACTATAGTCAAACGTTAAGGGGATAGGGAGCTCGCTTCCCAATGAGATGACCTAGGTTCAAATCCCAGCGATGGCTGGTCTATACGAATTCTGCACCCGTCTCGCACTGACCACAGTTACATGAAATATCCCCAGTGGTAGACGGACCATAGGTTGGGATCCTCTCATCGTCAAGCTAACCGTGGGAAGATTTCGGTATTTTCCTCTCCATGTAGCACAAATTCGGGTTAGCTCCATCAAAAAGTTCTCCACGAAGGCAAATTTTACCTAACACTTCATCCAGGAGTTTCCTTGTCTTTTGGATTCAAAATTACCAGAACATTTGTAGTGGTAAACTCAAAATTGGATCGTCTGTTTAACGATGGTCATAAAATGAAATAAAATGGACGAGAGTGGACCACGTGCACCTTGGAGCAGATAAATTTTGCATTTCTTATAACATAGTGGATACCTGTAACAAAAGGTACTATCTGTTTTTATGTGGGCCATTACAAATTTTCCAAGCATCTACTAGACAAAAACTAGACCAAAACTAGACAGAACAAAACCTTGTAAAAGTCACATTTAAAAACAGAACTAAAGTGGATTAGTAACAAAATGTCGTTTTCTTTAATATAGAATACTGATTTTCGCTTTGTTTTTTTTTTTTTAAATTAAAAAAAAGAAAAATATATATATATATATAAAAGAACAGGTTATTTTTGTTAAGCCTAACAAAATCAAAAAATTGTGTTTGCTTAGAAAACTCTCTCATTGTATCTTTGAACGGTTCAAGTTATGCGCTACAATCTAATTAGCACAAATACGTTTTCCTATTCACTATACCACTCACAATATCTTAAAAAATTCTATGTTTTTTAAAAAATTATCCATTTTCAAGCATTCCACTAAATTAGTAAAACATTTATGGTTAACTTGATTCAGTTTAGCTAAATGAAAAATATCTTTTAATTGCATGAATGCCCAAATTTAATCAAGCGCCAATTTTTAAAAGAAAAAACTCGAAATCAGTGGAAGGAATAAAGTTCAATGATCCAAGGTGCGCTATGTGGTGATCTAAAATACAAGACTAAGACATTAAACCAACTTTTCTTTGAGTAACAAAATATTTTTTCCTCAAAAACATTACATTAGTTGCCCGAAAAAAATTTTAGTAATATACGAAATTTTTAAATCAGTTGAATTATTACACTTTGCATAAAAAAAATTCAAAATCGGTCTAAGGTACAACACTCTCCCTTGAATATAAATTTTAAAACTGATTTAAATAAATATTTTATAAAAAAATACTAAATTATTATAAGCTTTATTATTATAAAACATCTCTGTGTGTACTGAATTGGAGATTGATTATCTATTTCAGGTCAAAATTATGATCTGAAAATGAATGGATGTATGAATGGGTCCACCCTAAAAATGGACTGTGACGTGTGCGTGACTGTAATTGTATTTTTGGCCATAGATGGCATCACTGAGAAACTAGAAATGCACCCCCTGCCTTAAATTCGCTTGATTTCACCAAGCAGGCTTGCTTAAATTGACAATATTTTTTCTTTCATTTGCAGACACTTTTATCTTGGAAAGTTGNAAAAATATATATATATAAAAGAACAGGTTATTTTTGTTAAGCCTAACAAAATCAAAAAATTGTGTTTGCTTAGAAAACTCTCTCATTGTATCTTTGAACGGTTCAAGTTATGCGCTACAATCTAATTAGCACAAATACGTTTTCCTATTCACTATGCCACTCACAATATCTTAAAAAATTCTATGTTTTTTAAAAAATTATACATTTTTAAGCATTCCACTAAATTAGTAAAACATTTATGGTTAACTTGATTCAGTTTAGCTAAATGAGAAATATCTTTTAATTGCATGAATGCCCAAATTTAATCAAGCGCCAATTTTAAAAGAAAAAACTCGGAATCAGTGTTATATAAGTAATAGCGTTCAATGATCCAAGGTGTGTTATGTGATGATCTAAAGTAGAAGACTAAGATATTAACCAGCTTCTCTTGTGTAACAAAATATTTTTTCCTGAAAAGCATTACGTTATTCGCCCGAAAAAAATTTTAGTGATATACGAAAATTTTAAATCATTTGAATTATTACACTTTTCATTAAAAAAAGAGAAAAATTCAAATTCGGTCTAAGGTACAACACTCTCCCTTGAATATAAATTTAAAAACTGATTTAAATAATTATACATTTTATAAAAAAATATTAATTTATTATATGCTTTATTATTATAAAACACCTCCATGTGTACTGAATCGGTGATTGGTTAACTATTTCAGGTCAAAATTATAATCTGTGAATGAATGTATGTATGAATGGGTCCACTCTGGACGTGTGCGTGTCTGAAATCGTATTTTTGGCCATAGATGGCATCACTGAAAAACTAGAAATGCACCCCCTGCCTTAAATTCGCTTGATTTCACCAAGCAGGCTTGCTTAAATTGACAATATTTTTTCTTTCATTTGCAGACACTTTTATCTTGGATTGTTGATATTGGATTCCACTGGAATTTGAAATGCGGGGACACGCTTTTCAGCTCATACTCTGTAAGTCATTTTTTCTCTATCATATTATCAGTTAAGAAATAAATGCGTCTGCAAGCATGCACGATTTTAGTGATTTCTTTAGTAATTTTTAACATTATAGTTATATAAATAAGTCTTATAAACCCATGTGTCTCGCACGGCATGTTCTCATGTCAATCATGTTTTCTCATCTTTATCAATGTTTTCCTCTTCTTACCACTTACACGGGGAAAATATTACTTCCGAGCTTAAGAACTTGGTATTTGAAAAACACTTTCGTGTGCTTGTGCACGGTCATTTTTATATAGATCGACACCTGTTTCATAACTGCAGTTCAAATTTCATTTGAGTGAGCTCTGATATTAATTAAATTTATGAATATTCTGAAACTTTTCTGCAGTTGTTAAAATTACTATTACTATTAACTGACTGAAGTTGTTCATGTGCGTGTATTAAATCACTATAATCAATTATATTTGCTCAGGGTAATTCAAAATGAATTCCTCAATTTCATAGGTGTACTACTCAACATGTCATAAATGTATTCATTAAAACTGTGCATACATGCTGAATAATGTTGAATAGTCAACAATAAATGGCACTGGAAGTTCAATTCTCATCAACGTCTCTTGAAAACAAAACGGCTAAAGTGCAGAGCCATCTCAGTATCACGTTATCTCATTAGCAGATTGGTCACGTATCAACCACAGACAACACACTCTTGACTTGGCCACTACTTTACCCTAATCTCAACCCATGCAATTTTTTCCTGTGAAGGGAAGCTTTCCTGTGTAGGAGATCGTTTTAATGTATCTCCAAGTCAAACGACTGTGACTGATTTGAAAGACAGTAATCGCAGCTACTACTACCAACCAGCAGCAGTCGATACAGTCATGTTGCATAAAATTTGGCAAGAATGTCATTTCTTATTACTTTATTTATGCTGTAGGAATTGATTCAAAAATTACTTACATTACGTCTGCCTGTATATATATTTCTTATGAATTTTGCGTAGTGCACTCATAAAATTGGGGCATTCCTTTTGACTAAACCTTTACTAACATCACATATACTTTTCAAAGATTTCAATTTTAAAGAAATTAATTTTAGATGGGATGGACTTTGTGGAATTCTTTTGTGCCCTGCCTAGCGTTGGGCGTGAAACTATTCCTCTATAGTGGATGTCCGTTCTACGCAGATATCAAGCCTAACATATGGGACATCATTGAAGAGCACAAAGTTAACTATAGTTTCTTAGTAACAAGCATTGTAGACCGAATGGAGAAATTTGATCTAAAGCCAAGTAAGTATAAATTGTTAACTTCTACTTTAATTTATTACTTTTGCACTAGTTCGATAATGCACTTAAAAAAATATTTCGAATTTTTGTATAAATTGTATACTAACAGAATATTTAATACACAATGAAATTAAATTAATTTTTGATACTCGTAAGCAGTACAAAAATCATAAGATGAAACCGAGGTCTACAAAATAATAAATGCATAATTTAAGCAATAATACAAATATTACTGGCTAATTAAAACACTTTTTGTCACAATTGTTTCTTTGGGGGGGTGGGGAGGGATTTATATAAGTAATGTTAGTTTAATGTAACAGCATTAGAATAATATTAATTTAAGTAGTTTACGAACATATACTTTTGGAAAAATTTTCATTCAGATTTCAAACTCTTACGAGCATTTTAATGTTTTGATATTAATTTCCAAATCAATTGTTACTTTGTGAAACACTTTTAACTTTAAGAATACGCTGTATTTCGTGTAAATTTTTGATATACTAGGGTAAGGGCTTTTTCAATGTTTTATGTAAGCTTTTTTTGTATTCAATTTTTGACATCACATTGGAAGATGTTAGATGTCAATTCAAATCTTCGTTCTCTTAAATGCATAATTTTTTTTTTGAATTTTAAATGCTCGTTTATAAATTTTGAACGAAATTAAGGAAAAAGATATTTGATCCTAACATACATAAAAAAACTAATATCTAGAACATTTAAACTTAAATACATTCCCATTGATATTTTTCAGATTCCGATGCAAAATTTGAGCATTTGAAAATGATAGCAATGGGAGGAAGTCCAGTAAAACCTGAAAACTTTGAATACATCCGACGCATTGTGGGAAAAAATACTTTCATTGGTAGTATGTATGGTGAGTACTTCTTGTAAAATGGTTTTTATTTAATAAATGGATTTTATTTATTATTTATCTGCTTGGTAACTAAGTACGTGTTCTCCAATACTTTTCCAAAAGACAATTAAGAGGAAATACTGCGAACTATTCGTCAAAATAATTAACAGTCATATCTTGTCCAGATAAATATAAATAAATATGTGTCGATGATACTAAAGCGATGTAAATAAGAATGGAGAAAGACTTACTCTGTCAATAGTCTATTAAAGCCCTGGATACGTAGCTATGGTAGCGACACGCCATCATTTTGGTGACAACAGCAACTCCATTTAAATGTTAGCAATGAAGAAATACGTAGTTTCTTTTGTTAAACGCCACTTTTTATTGATTAACATCTTAATATTTTTTAAGATAACTTAGATATTAGCTAGGAAACCCAGGGCTTTACAGTCTAAAAGTTGTCACCACAGCCACATGAGGAGCACCCGGAAAAAGATGAGGAATTGTGTCTGGGACACTCCCAGTATTTAAATTAAGAGGAATGAGAGGCCGCTGAATGAAAGCACCTGCTTGATTTCTGATTTAAAATGAGATGATTTTTTTTTCAAATGGTTCACTTTTTTGCTGTTTTTATCATCACTGTGGTACAGCATCCACTGTGGACAGTATGCTGGATGAAATAGCAAATTTTGTGTCACACAGAAGGCACGGCTATAACCCTGCTATAAAACCGCTATAAAACCACCACTTTACTAACCGAAAGTTCTTTTTCTAAAATGTTATTGGCTCAGTATAATTAGATATCTGTTTACTTCCAGATAAAATTCCCACCTACTTATTACTTTCTTCTGCAAGTCTTTATCCATAACATTAATTAAACTTAGTCAGTTTCCACACTCCTAACTTTAATTATTTGAAATAATTCAAAGAGCAGTTTAGTTGAAAAGTATTAAAAAAATTATTCAAAAGAAAAAAAAAAAAGAGAATGAGTTCCCTAATTGCAATTCTCAAAATAATAGTTCTCTGAAATCTCCATAAGATATTTCGAAAACATTTGTTTAAAATTAAGTCCTTTGAATGAACATTTTACGAGGTGTTGAATAAAATTGCAATTAATCGATAGCTTTTTTATTTGTTTAATTAGTTAGAATTATTATAGAAATAGGTACAATGTTTGTCTTTTAAGCGTTCTATAAAAGTCTTGCATGCTATTGCGTGCAACTGCTGTAGTTCTTCATTCACTAAGGAGACAGGGGCTCAAACTTGTCCCTAGTTCACCCCAATCTGTGAATATAAATATTTGTTTTTAATAAGCATATATTTCGAGAATAACTGCTCAGTACCATTTTGAATATAACTCTGATGATTGTAAAATATTCTTTGTTGGAGTAAAAGTAGCGAATTTTAATTTAACCGCTAACTCTTCCCAATTTTTTGAAGAAAAAAATGCAAAAAATCTTTTTTTTATTTTATTAATACTAAACTAAAACAAAGTTTTAAGCTAAAATTATGTGCAAAAAAACATTTAATTTACTATCAGTTTACTATCCCGAGTTATCTGAGGCAAATGTAAAAAGTTAAATATTGGTTTTTGTATACGTTCACATCTTCATAATCTGAAAAATCATCTGTATTACTTTCAATTTCGTACTTGAATGGGATTTTTTTCACTCTTTTTTCTATGCAAATTCAGCAACCATCGTATATACAATCACACAAAACATGCGTGCAGTCTCACAATCCGACAGCAAAACAAATCTTGGCAAACTTCCAATCACGGTAAATTTTTTTTAATTTAATTTTTGTTTTATTTATTTATTTATTGCTTCCGACCGTGTGAAAACGTGATAAAACGAAACATACTTACAAATTCTGCTGCACCTGAGTTTTCTCGGGATTATAAATATTTGCAATATATGCATACCCGAGTTAACTCGGGATATTAAATATTTGCAATATATGCATACCCGAGTTAACTCGGGATAATAAATATTTGCAATATATGCATACCCGCGTTAACTCGGGATAATAAATATTTGCAATATATGCATACCCGAGTTAACTCGGGATAATAACTGTTGTTTTTGCTTTGTGTAGGAGCTACGGAAACGAGTGGTACATTTTCAGGATTTTCTCTTAACTTGCCGACGTATCCAGGAGAAGTTCAAGTTCCAGCATTAGGAAAAGATATACAATGCTTCAACGAAGAAGGTAAGACCAGTTAATCAAAACAACAAATTTATTTTTAAAAAAATTGCTAACTTTTCTCTCACAGTCCAGTTTTCTTTTTAAAAAAAAGAAAAAAAGAAAAGAAACAGCAGGGCAATTGAAAACAATTTAAAAAGTTAAAAGTGCAGCTCTCCCTTTATGTGTAATTTAAGCTGGCTTGTGCTGATTATAAAATTTGAATATTTGATAATCATAATAATTTGAATTTGAAATCATTCAATGATAATGACATCATTATAAGCCATATCCCGTCTTTTGAAGAAGTAATTGTGAAAATGAATTTTGCAATAATGAATACTTAAATAAATTTGATCATAGATACAATTACCAAGTTGTTTCAATTAGCATTTCAATCAATCAAGAACTTCGGTATCCATAAAAGGTCCTTGTCTATTTTCTTTTTCTTTTTTTTTCAGTTTATAGAAAAGTGTCATAGTTTTTCGTACGGCAATAATTTGTATAATATTTATTATTAGTAATAATTATTATTTGTTATAAATTTCGTACGGTAAAGTTTAAATTTTTTTTAATTTATTTTAGCCACCAGAGCATAAATATACATGTTTTTTAATACTGTTTATACCTAAAATCTTTCTTGCCTACTTCTTCTTTTACGAAGAACAAATTCATTGAAACATTGTATTCCTTAATTAAAGAGACAGTTAAGTGTGGAATTTCACTTAATATTTTTTTAAAACTTCTATAGTGACTCTGTTTTTCTGTTAGCTACTTTTGTCGTTGGAGATTTCGTACTCGTTTAGTAATGAACATATCTTTTAAAAGAAACTATCTTTTTATTTATTTCGTTTGTTTGTTTCGATATTTGTTTTTGTCAACTGTCTTATTGTCTTATTTGTTTTTGTCAACTGTTATATTTGTTTTCGTTAATATTTGTCTTGACAACTTTTTTGTCTATATTTAAATAAAAATAAGAACAAGAAAAGAGAAAACCTATGAAAGGAATGTAAAAAAATGGGAATTTTTTGTGTATTTTTTCGGGTATTATGTATATAAATAAATGAAAAATAATTAAAAAGAAAAGGATCCACATCTTAAAAATAATTTAAGCGTTAAATTTTGAAAACAATTGGATTTGAAAAAGCTTATAATTTTAAAAAAATTGAATTCATTTCAAGATAAAACTCAATCATCAACCATAAAAGATAAGCAAACTTTTATCACGCAATTAGTCACTAAGAAATCAAATAGTTAACTCTTTCATTTACTTTATTTTGTTTCGTAATTGACAGGAGAACCTGTGATTGGTCAAAGAGGAGAGATGGTTGTAAGGTCACCTAATCCATCATTTCCAGCTTATCTCTGGAAAGATGATGATAAGAAAGTATTGAACTCTAACTACTTTTCAAAATATCCTGGTAAGTACAAAGTTCGTTAAGCTCATTAAACTATTTTAGACTGATTTTGATGAATTTATTCAGATAAATTCCAGACATCTAATATTTAAATTTAAAAAAAAACATCATTATATTATTACGAGAGTGCTGCTTCATGATAACACTAAATTTCATTAAAAACAGTGTCTAAAATTACAATTGGTAAAACGTTTATTAAAACCTATTCGCGTTTCGGTGACACAATGGTGCATTTTCATCGAGAAGTACTGTTTTGTCACCGAAACGCGTATAAGTTTTTAAAAAATTTTACCATTTGTGATTTTAATTTTGAGAATTTCGTTATATCTATCTAATAAGTACAATTTTGTACAAAGGGTCTTCAAAAATTTCTACAAAATATGAAAATAAGGCTTTTTGTACTTTAGAAAGGGGTCCGCAATAAATTTTGTCCTGTGGTCCATAAAACCTTTGTTCAAGTTTAGATGTAGTTATCTTCTTGTCCTGTGGTCTTGTATCTTGTCAATTTTGTCCTGTGATCCATAAAACCTTTGTTCAGGTTTGAATGTAGTTATCTTCTTGTCCTGTGGTCTTGTGTCTAGTCAATTTGGTCCTGTGGTCCATAGAAGCTTTGTTCAGGCTTAGATGTAGTTATCTTCTTCCTCCTATGCACAACCGCTTTAGTGGGCAGAGCATAGGCACAAATGAAGGGGCACTGGAGCTGGTAGTACCCGGTCTTACCCCTTAAGCAGAAGTTATCGAAATGTGACTGAACAGTGGGCTAAATCCTCATTGTTTGTTAGGGTATAAATCTTTAGCAAACATATAATAGGCTGGACTAAAAATAATTTCCATAATTTCAATAACCAATAAGTGATGACAGCTTAAATACTAGAGACCATTAGAGAGTTGAGTAAAACTATCCGCCGTCAATCATAACAATACGCAATAGAGTCTTCCTGATTAGTAAAGTGTAATTCAGAGCTTGTCCGCTGGGAAACTAAACTATTTTCCACACAATCGAAGTACTAGACTATATCCCACCACCCGGCCTTACCCTACTCTCCCCTATAGTAACATATAAAAATTTTCAGCATACTCCATATATAATAAAATATATTATTTCAGGTGTCTGGTGTCAAAATGACGTATGTTTAGTTAATCCTGTTACTAAGGGAATCGTTGTGATTGGCAGAAGGTGAGAAATTACCCCGACTTATTTAACACTTATATAAATTGGTAAATGTGTCATTTAACTAATTAAATTATGTATAATATTATGTATATATACAAGGTCTGGCTATTAATTTCCAGGACTCATGGAATAACTCAGAAGAAAAAAAAGTTAAACACATAGCCATTTAATATTATTCGAAGTAATCCCCATCAGCCGTAATACACGTCTGTGCTCGGCTGTACAAATTTCGGTCCACTTTTGGAATGCTCTTTATTAGTGACGTTGCAGTTTTCGTGAAGGCTTCGACATCCTGAAATCTTGTTTCCTTCAGTGAATTTTTCTGCTTAAGAAACATGAAAAAGTGTGTGCTAGGTCTGGCGAGTATGGTGGATGCTGCGACTCAACGACACCATGCTGAGCTGAGAATCACCTCACAGTCAAACGCAATGTGTGTACGCGAACTTTTTCAATTGCTTCCGGCTTGCGTGCGAACTGCGGCCGAACTGTGTGCGGATCATCTTCCACACTTTCGCGTTCAAAAGCGTTTAAACCATTCAAAAGTTCTTGAGCGAGATAATGCTTCCTTACCATAAACTTGTTTTAACAATTCGTAGGTTTCTGCAGCTGTCTTGCCCAATTTGAAGCAAAATTTAATGTTAATTCTTTGCTCCATTTCACTTCGACAACAGGAATTTAAGAGCTCCGTTTTAATGCGCCTTTCCACGAGAACCACTCACTTCAGAATGGTGCCGATTGCACTGCACATGCGCAAGAAAACACTCTTCAATATGCAATCATTAGCGCCATATTACGGCTTTTCTTTCTCCTACAGTTACCTCAGTCCTGGAAATTAATAGCCCGACCTTGTATATATACATATATATTAATCACATGGACGGACTTAATCACATATTCTTCTCGAATTATAAGTAATATTATATAATAATACTCGAATTATAATAAATTGTGGCCATCTGTTTTGTAACATCCTTTATACATGAAATCTTATGAAAATTTTAATGTTTAATTTTTTTTTACCTGTGTAAACATATACTTTTAAAACATTACATTAAACGCTTGGTCTATAGTCAAATATTTAAAAAGTTATATTTACTTTCTTTAAAAGAATTTTGATGGAAATATTTTCAATGCCGAGTAAATAAATTTGTTTATCTTAAGTTATCCGGCCTCAAAAATAAAATAAAAAATTCATTTAAGTCCAATGTTCGTCTATTTTAACGTAAAGTCGTAAATATGTACAGAATGCGTTTGATACCTTGTCTTAAAGTTTATTTTTTAATACTCTCTCTCTCTCTCTCTCTCTCTCTCTCTCTCTCTCTCTCTGAAAAGTTTTCGGAACTTTAGTATTCAAAAAAGTATACAAAAGCTAGACGTTAAGAACGTATCCAATGAGCGAGCAAAGCGAGCATTGGATTGCGAAGCATTCCGAAATGAACTGCGAAACCAGTTCCGGGGGTTGGCGAGCGCCAGCGAGCAGGGGGCGAAGCCTCCTAGTATAATAATAAAATAACAAGCAGTTTCATAACTATCTAGTTAATAAAGCATTTAATTGCCGTAGAATAATTATACTTCTTTTAAAATAAATCTGAAATGCGTGTACTGATTCCGGCCGGCCGGAAACTCCCCTCGTAGTAAATGGTGACTGGTGCGAGGTTAAATATCACAGGCAACATAACAGTTTGGTCACCTCATTAGGTCACATCCATGTTTCCATAACAAAGCATACCTTTGAATGTACGGAATTGAGAATTGGTCATTCTCTGGTCAAATTACGATCTGAGGATTTATAATAGCCGACAGAGTGTATCGCTTAGAACATTTTTCTTAAAAGACTAAAATATAGAAAATCAATTTAAATGGAAAAAATGTATTTTAAAAATTAGCGGAAAATAAAATTCATATTAGATTCATTCTTACTGTGTTGTTTAAAACTAGGGAAAATGCTCTTATATTCATAAAATAGCTTTTTTTTATTCCAGTGATGATACAATTACTCAATATGGTGATCGCTTTGGATCTGGAGACATTTATTTCGCTAGTAAGTATAAATTAGTAAATGAAAATTTAATTTTTAACTTAATCATATTTTCAACAAAAAACAATTTCAGAACATATTTACTAGTACAATAATGTTAAAACCCTAAACCTATTTTGAAGACCGAGCAGATACTGGAAGTATCAAACAACATACTATGCCAGTGTTCAAAATTGCAAAGCAAGTTGAACCAAATTATAGCTCAAATTCTCTACTGAGTTTATGTGTTGCTAAGTTGAATCAAAGACTGAGGAAAAAATGTATGGTGAAATTTAGCAGAATACAATAACACTTACCGTGTCTCTGACTCTATGGTAACACCAAAGAGCTCGGTAATTTTTACGGAAGCACTTTGGTAATGATTTTGATAAAATTAACTATAAAATATGGTTTTATAATATGTGATAAAATTGGGTAATTTTATCGTAATACCTTAGTTGATGGCGTAAAAACTATTTATTTGGTTAAATTTACTTTTCAGTTTTGTATTTTTATCTAGACGTGTGGTAATAAGAGTTATAATTTTGAAAACCAGAATTTCTGCCATCATGGATCACTAGGGAGCCATGAAATAGCTTAATCACGAACTATTACCCTCAGTTGTTCTTAGATTTTTTTTAGGGAGTACTGTTTTCTCTTATAACCGTAGTTGTAAAAAGTCGACCCCATTTTAAGTTTACGACTACCAATTTCCAAATCCGTAGCCTTGTAATTTTGAACCCAATATAGAGGACAAGAAAACTACTGGATCAAATATTGGCAGAAATTTACTTTTCGTGGAGGACTTTTCAAAAGAACTAATCCACATTTGCATTACATAGAGAGGAAAACCACGAAAACATCCCACGGTTAACACATGATTCGTATACCACTGCAGATATTTTAAGTCAGCACTGTGGTTGGTGCGGTCCAGGTGCGGAATTCGTTGCGACCAGCCATCGCTGAGATTCGAACCCGGATCACCTCATTGAGAATCAAGCACTCTAAGCCCTGAGCCACGATGACTTAGAGAGATATTTCGATTAGTTCGTTGATTTTTATACAATAGATTAAGACGATCTTAAAAGAAATTTAATAAGGCCGATTTTTATGAGAATCATTGCATAGTAATATATTAACTATTACGAGGTATATCTATTTAAATAGTACAGGAAAAATAATATAGAATATTTAACGTTTGATATCTTATTATTATAAATTTGATGTAAATAATACAAAATTTTCTTGATTCATTTTAGCTTATTCGCATGAATGAAACCACATAACTTTACAGAAATAATTTTGTCTTAATGCATATTTTTATAGTTCATGATATGGAGGAGATTCAAGATTATATTTGTGTGGGCCAAACTAGATATGACGGAGAAATGCGGGCTGTTCTCTTCATTAAAATGAAACAGGGTTATAAGTTCGATTCAGATATGAAAGAAAAAATAACTCAACGTATAACGAAAGAGTTATGGATGGATTGTGTTCCGGATGTTATTTTGGAAATTCAGGATATTCCGGTAAGTTTATGTTCACAACGATAATTTTCCAATAGCGATAAGTTTAGGCATACCAGAATTTTTTATCAGTTAAAGTACTCAGTTTTAGAATTGAGTTAAATAATCACTGTCTTACTTTATACTGTAAAAAATGGTTCACGAAATTTTTATCAGTTTTGGTGAAACTGTTTCCAGAGAAATTTTCTAACTTAATATTTCGTCAAACTGAGAACATTTTTATCTTCACTTGTTAGGGAGGCAAATTCGACAGAATCAGTTGACGTAATTCTGTAAAACTATAAGAATTAATTATGAAACACAATATAAAATAAATAAAAAAAATTATGAATACTTAGCCATATCCAGGAATTAAGCCAAGGAAGCCTGCTCATCAAATGACCGCAGCCACCCCTGCATCATCCTATGATATGGAATAAAAGGTTTGAGGATCAAATAAACACTGCTGGACAGTTATCAGACTGGACTGAGATGACGCACAAATCGGGTTGCGATTTCGTCAAATATTTAAGAGATCGCGCTTCGTCAAAAATCACATGATTTCGCGACAAATTGATTGTCAGAAATAATGAGGTACAACTCAAGGATTGCTGAATAGTCAAAAAGAATTTTTTTTTTTTGAGAGTGTAGTTTAATTTTTTATGTAAAATTTAGGAAATTAATCGAGTAAATTCCCTTTTATGCAAATGAATTTCCTGCAAGACTAGGTAACAAATCTGAGTTTTTTTTAA